ACCCTGCGCGGCGACGGTGTGCGAACGGGTAGGGAAGAGCTTCGACACGCATGCGGTTTTGAGTCCGGCTTCGGTGAGTCCTACAGCAGCTCTGAGGCCAGCGCCACCGGCTCCCACAACGATCGCACTGGTCCAAGGTTAGCTACATGCAACCCCATAGATTGACTGTCGATTACTCATAGTGGTGGTCAATGACTGTGAGACCTTTGACATTTGGCCCATTGACGGAGGCGAACTTCCTATGGTGTCTTTGGTTAAGTAACTGCTGGTGAGCACTGTACTGGCGGCGCGAGATGGTTCGCGCAAAGGCACGCATCATGAAGAGCGACGGGCGAGAAAAGGATACATTGGGTCTTAGCTAGATCGAGAGAAGGGTTTGGAGGCATCAGAACAGTACACGCGGTAGTTAGTACCAATGGCGCTAGTATATAGGCGTTCGGCATGCCCCTCTATGCTTCCCTCGGCTGTATAACGACCCAGGGTGGGTGGAGGTTGATAACGCGGAGAAGGACCCCTATACTTCAAAGTGCCGAATGCTTCTCGACAGTGGTGCTTCAGGTGTCAGAGATAGGGAGGACATCATTCACGATGCTGTTGAGCTGTCGACACGCGTCGTCTGATGGAGGGACAAGTTTGCGGGGTAGACGGGAGTGAATGTTGGAGACGCGATGTGGCGAAGATCTGGGCAGGAACAACATGACTCGTACGTGCGCTACCCCGGAAATGACCGCGTCAACCAATCGGTCATAACGCATTACGCAAGGCGAAAGACCGATCAGCCTTCCGTCGGCTATACAACATTGTACTAGTTCAAGACATCACTTTATCTCAATTATCGGCATTTCGTACCAAGTGTTCACCCTTCGTGGCCGTTCCTGCTAACATGAAGTGCCCGGTACATGTTCTCATGTGACGTCATACAATATGGCGGATTCGGTGTGTCCAACCAATGTGTGTCGTGGAGTAAAGGGCGTAGAAAGGGCTGATGCGGATAACGCGGGTGTATACTCGATTTGAGGAAACATCTGAGACCTCAGCGTGCTCTTGGAAAACCTATACAGCTCATAAACACACCTTTCCATACGCACAACAGACTTCATCGAAACCTCTTAACATGACGACCGAATGGGCAAAGAAATGGCTTTCCGACCCCTCATCCACTCCAGCATCTAAACAACAGATCACCATCATCGACGAGCTCCTCTCTTCCAAGACATCGCCCGAAAGCTCTGCCTCCGCAACGGCCTCCCTCGTCGAAGCGCAAGACGACATCAGCTACGCACTAGCCGATCTCGTTGGTATCTACTATTCGGCTGCTGAATCTTGTACTAGTTTGAAGGAACTGGAACTACTCGTAGCATATCTCGTTGAACTCGCAAGACAACCAGATGCTGTGAACCGAGGACCAGAGGCCAGGAGCTGGGATGTGCCTGGCCTTGAGCCACCACCCAAAATCGAGGTCGGAGAGGTCATCGTGATTGAAGGGAAGAGGTTGTGGAGTCAGTTACCGTGGTTCAGTATGCATCTTACGGAGAAGTTTCAGGGTACGTTTGCCAAATCTCTATGCTGCCGTCTGCCACCCTATATATCTCATGGCTGACGTTTTCATGATAGGTCCCGAGCTATGGACTCACAGTATCCGTAACCCAGCAACCCCTGAAGTCGCAACCACGAAATGGAAAGACTTCAACACTCTCCTAGCACTTACCGCACATGATCCTGACGCCCAAACTACACCAGCTCTCGCAGACTACACCAGACTGTCTCGTGTGACTTTGGCCATGGCACTGGAACATTCGCCTAGTACGAGGCTGGGCGAGAATACAGCCATGCATGTACCGGCGGCTACACAGTGGCTTTTGATCGCGGGGAAAGAGATAGAGAAAATGTGCGAGGCGGGTACGGAGTCGATGAATGTGGGTGATCTTTGGGTGGAAAGAGGGGGGAGCGATGTTTGCGACGTACCAAGGTTGCAGTTCTGGAAGGAGAGATTAAGGGAGTTGGGATATGAATAAGCCGATGTTAGATAATGCTCCTTATACAAAGAAACATTTGAACAGGCCTGGAGCCTACATCGCCGTTAGATCACCTACTTGGCATGTTTTCATATTTGATGTAGGCTGCAGACCTGTTTAGCATTTTGCAAGGGTAACGTGTATGAGCATCAGCTTATTTCCCGCTTCACTGATAACTGGACTACATCCACGCCAATCTATCCTCATTCGACTGACCTAATGTCTCGGTATATACCAGATTGATCTCTCAGCTTTCCTAGCAGCCTCGCTGGAAATTTCAACCTCAACCGCTACAGTACTTTCATCCAGTCTGCCAATGTTCCCTGCATATTGTTCACCGGGACGCAAAGGTCTTAGCTTAGGTGTGGCTGATGCCGACGTCGATGCCGACGCCGATGCTGACGGCCTCTCATCCGACGATGAGGCAGAACACGCTTTTTCTAGTGTCGGTCGTCTAGGTTTTGATGATCGTTCTTGGGTAACAGGCAGTTGGATTGGGGCGCCATTATTGCATACAGGTATACATGGAGGGTGCACGATGGTTTTCGTGCGTTTCTTCGGTGAAGTGCTGGAAGTCGTGGTTGTCGAGAAGGAGCTTGCACTCGTTCGGTCACTAGAAGGGGATAGTGAACGAGTTGATGATGATGATGAACTTTGGTCGGCCGTGTATCCAGACGTTGCGGGCGAAGTGCCAAAGAGGCATAAGTAAGACATCTTGCGTGTCTATAAGTTGGACTCAGGGAGGGAGTGTGACCAGTCGATTGCTATTTGCTTTGCGTTCAGATGTCGTAAGGCTTGTCCAAAGTCTCACGGGGGCTAAGGTGCGTCGTTTAACCAGGTGGCTGCGCCTTCATTCATACAACCGATTTGGCGAAGGTCTTTCGGAATCGTTGCTAGCGAGCCGGTTGAGTCTGAGTGGGTTTGGCGGAACATTATGGCGCTTTGGAGTATGTGATGCAACCACTGTATCGTGAATGGACCTTATCGCTGAAGAGTAAGTGAATAGTGTCAGACAGCGTGAAGAAACGAAAAGCACAGGCGAGTTCTTTTGACACAGTCTCATTTGGTATAGTACTGTATCCACAGTGCTCGATCAAAATCTCCAGAAGCTGGCTGATACCAGTCATACTCATAGTAGTAGCAACGTTCACCTGGGAATAATAACGCCTTTCCAATGCCAAACGCCAGCGGCTATGCATCCCTCCAGTCAATGCAATCGCTATGTCGGAACCCATAAAATCATAATACAATCGTGTCGTGCCATTTTGCGCCATTCCCATGCTAAAACGCCTTAAGATCCCAACTTTTGCTTGCGTCGGTCATCGTTGCATGTACATGCCGGTGGTGACCATAACATTGCCATAGCGCTCGTTAGCGCGCCAGAGGTACTTTAGGAAAACGATAGCTTTCAGGTAGACTTTCATAATGCGCCTCCGTCGGACGCGATCGGCTTCCAAAATTTTGCGCAGTGCCTTGGAGACAGCAAAAGGTGAGGCGACCTTGCGGGATGGTGACTGGATGATGGCGGGCCACGACGTCGCTCGGGTCAGCGTCGGCGGACTCAGGTCGGAAACCTCGGGTAAGAAAGCCGCTGGGGTCTCGGGCGCGTCGTTCAGTGAAGCAGGACCGAATTGGGCGTCGAGAGGTTCATACTCGAAGACTTCTGGAATGCTTCCAAGCGTGGGAGAGAAGGCCGCTGAGCGGGGAGTGCCGGGTTGGTGTGACATTTGAGTGGTAGTATTTTCTTTTGGTGGTGACTGTCCTCTTCTTGGTGGTGAGGGACGGGCAGGTTGATGTTGCTGCTTGGGTGCGCGTGGTGAGAGTTGGATGGAGGGTTGGCTGGCTGGCCAGAGCGGAACGGAGAAACGCCTAAACATGGAGCCCGTTTGTTTTGCTGACTGATTGAGGAGAGCGTCGCATCGTTGCGGTGAAAACAGCAGCATGTCGGACAGTGAATGTGTTGCACGACGAGGCTGAGGTGAGGACGAGATTGGGAAAACGAAGGAAAGCAAAGCGCTGGCGGCACCGCGGATTAAGGCTGACTTTCACCCATTGTTAGTCGTGAGTATAAACAGTTAATCCCCGCTTTTGCAGGACGGGAAGGGCACTAGGCACTGGGGCCCAATGATGTTAGCATACGGGCGACGGTGATCGTGTGGACAAACGCGTTTGTTTTGCAGACAACACACTGGCAAGCCACTTCCCGTGGTCACACGAGCTGGGAGCACGCTGACCTTTGACGAGAAGACGCGTCGCTGCTGCCTCACACTCCTGGGTGCTCTGCGAGGAGGTGAATATTACCCCGCTCAGGCATTGTGCGATTGTAGATGAGGCATGACGTCGCTATGGAAAAAGTTTGGATCGAGAGATCGAGAACTCACATCAACCGGCGCAGAAGCCGCCAACGGTAACGCTAGCGTCTAGCCCAATCACGCGTGAGACGCCCCTTCCTGTCCCCAACTCCTTCACACCACCATTGACTGCCTCTACCACATGGCCAGGGTGATACGCCGTCTGTGTGCAGCCGCCTGATGCAGCGCATCGCAGATGCAAGCGTGCGTGTTCTTTGATGCGTCACCGGGTAGTCAGAGCCCTGCCATGTCGCTTTCAGCTGGCTGTCCTCCGCGGACTGCCCTTGCCGTGGCCTGCGTCTCACCGATGAGGGCATGCTCAGGCTTTGCACGTTTCACGGCGACGCCCAGCAAAGATAGGCACCAAGAAGTGAGCAGTAATCATCTTCAGCGCTGAGATAGATGCAGAAGGTCCTCGGCACCCTTGTACGGCGGTAACCTACCGCCTGCTTGGGATGCGGAGAAGCCAAAGCTATACAGCACCAAAGTTCCTCTCATCTCCCGCTGCAGGTCTGCCTGTCTGCCATCGCCTCTGCGACGTCGCCTACGACGGATTCTTTCGCTTTTGCTACTACTCTGCTTAGCCGCCTCTAGCATCGACTAGGCTGTCTGACTCCGAGTCACCATCAGCAAAATGACGTACACCAGGAAGCAGGTCGTGACTTGCATCAGCGTGCTAGTAGGGTCTCATACGGTGCGAGCTTTCACGTGCGCGTTCTAACAATATCTAGTATCTCGTCATCGCAACCGCGCTCGCAGGGTAAACTCACATCGTAACCGACGATGCTAGAAGCGCGCTAACACGTCTAGGTGGGCTGCCTCCCGCGCGAACGCTCGTTCAGTGCCCATCTCCGACACATTGACCGGCTTCACTACGGCTCTACCCATCGTCTCAGGCCTCCTGCTCGAGTGCGGCTATGACTTCACGCGTCGGCAAGAGCGTCGCAAGCATCTGGGCCGCGGCGAGATCCAGCGCCCGCCACTCGTAATCATCGCGAACACGCGTGGCTACACCTCATCCGACCATTGGATTTTTGTGGCCGACCATAGACTATACCTAACTAGGTAGAGCTAAGCCTAATCTAGTAGAGCCTAATAAGGCTTAGCCTATAATCTTTAGAATTGCTATATTTTAAATTTTAAGTTCTTTTAAACACGTTTCTAACGCGTTCTTTTTAAATTTTTAAGAAAATTCTAAAATTTTTAGTCTTCTTTAATTATTTAAAAACACGTAGTAAGTATAGAGATATAAGAAAAAAAGAAAACTAAAGTATTTAAAATAAAAAATTTAAATAATAAAGAAAGATTTTATTAAAATTTTGTTAAAAACGTGTTAATAACGTGTTATAAGCGCTAGCCTAAAGCAGATCTTGGCAATGGTCAGGCACCTTTTTTTGATGGTCGGATGAGCTGCGCTCTCCGAACACGCTCATCTTCATCTACTCGACGGTCGTCGTTACCCTCGTCGGCACTCATGTCGCGCCGCCTTCTGGGTTAGATTGCGGACTGCGCGAGCGCTGGCAGACGTTGTTCAAGCACAAGGATGCGAGTGCCATCCGCCAGATCCAGGATGCCTTTGAGTGCTGTGGCCTCGCCAACGCGCGCGACATGGCATGGCCTTTCCCAGACAAGACACACAAGGCCGACGCATGCCAGATCACGTATGCTGGCAGAGCTGATGGCTGCTTTAAATTCTGGAAGGCTGAGGAGCAAGTGGTTGCCGGCATGCTCATGTCCGTCGTGGGCATGGTTTTCATCTGGCAGGTACGTAGTGGAGGGTTACAGCGCTCCGAGACGCCAATACTAACTTGACTTCCTAGATCCTCATCATCGCTATTCCCACACAGAAGGAGTCCTGGCTGCATCGTATTGCGCCGGAACGTATCTCCCGCATGATTGCCGACGAGCGCAACGGCGACACCGAGCCTCGACGAGCCATCGATTACATACCCGGCTACAACAGCAACCGCTACTCTGACCGCATCGAGGAGGAGACTGAAGAAGACAGCCAGGACTCAGTCCGTGCTATTGAGGAGGGCAATCGCCGCCTCGATGGCGCGCTGCCAGGACATGTTGAGCGCGACCAGCAGCCTAGTGTCGAGAACGAATGGGCGAGGAACTAGCGAATTGGATGTATACAAGCTGCGGTAGTATGCAATCACGCACTAGACGTTCGAGAAGCGGCATGGCAGAAAATTGGGGTGCCAGTTATGCGCGAAGTCACAGCTCTGTGCATCTCGAGACTGGTCATCTCATCCTGACTGCGACTAGAAGCGGGAACACAAAGGGCCAGTTCGACTGGCCCAGCATCTCGTCTATGAGACAACACCGTCCACGACTGCAGTGTCGTCTCTAGCATGTCTTTTCCGAGTCAGACAGTATGGGCTGTTCCAAACAATGCAACGTAGTGTCTTATATCGTCAACTATGACTATTTAGCGTATACTTTCGACCGCTATCACTCACAATGCACTTCAATCTCATTCGTATATACTCAAATCAACATGTTCGCTCACAGTGGACTGCTCGAGGCGGACCGACAGAGCATTCTGACATACCTATATAATGTTCGACTCTCGAGTCCTGTATACCCGCAGACCATCACAAACACCGTTTCACACCCACGCCACAGCGATGTCCTCAACGAAGAACACCACCACTTATCTGTGCTCGAACAGGCCGCGCCTGAACAGTGTAAACACAGCCCACACCTTCGATGACATTCTCCCACCAGAGAGAATGACGACGTGGGAAGACTTGGACGCCAAAAAGAAGGACAAAATTTCCCACAAGGTCAAATCCAAGGTGGGGAGTACCGCAAAGTCCGCTTTGGCCAAGACCAAGGAGAAATTGGCGGAGGGCAAGGCGAAAAAAGAAGCCAAGAAGGCGGAGAAGGAGGAGGGGCAGAAGACGAGGATCGATTCCGTAGTGGATTGATTCATTTGGTGGAGGAGGAGGAGGGTCGTGCATGAGGATATATAATGCGGTGAAATGAAGTTTGTTTGACAATTTGAATTTTGAGCTTGGTGATCACTGTGTCTTTGATCGAGTAGGCGTCCTAGTGGCTCTTATCGTTGCACCCGCGTCGACTCTCTCAAGGCGGAACTATTCGCTCGCTTCAGTGCTGATCGTCGATAGCCTGTATGAATGAATTGAGTATTGAATCGTAGCTAGGATGTAGGGCGGTGTCCGTGGTCCTCTAAGAATCCTTGTCGTAAACGCTGTGCCTTTCTTTCGCTGCCATCTTCGATCCAGGGTGTGATTCGTATCTGGTCCTCGGTAGGTGATTCGTGATGTGCTTCTAACGCGTCACTTACAGCTTCGTCCACGCAAGCAGACGCGAGACTGGTACTTGGCTCATAGAAGACCTCTTCATCATTATCCTGGAACTTGGAGGCTTCCCAATCCGATGCGTCTGCTTTCTCCAGACTCTTTACATGTCCTTCCGTTGCTTCCTCAGTGTCTGTCGCTGTATCATCTTGGTCGAGTGGTGGAAGGTCTAGAGAGTCCTCCTGGTCGCTCTCGTGATCGTCGAGCTTTGACTCCTCTATAGGAATCGTCTCCTCATCCTTTTCAACTTCTTGATGCTTGGGTTGGACGACTGATTCGAGCAAGACATCGTCGGCCGGTGGTGTAGGTACAGGATGCATGGGCGGTGGGCTGATAACGTCTGCATCGTCATCGATCACTTTGATGGCCTCATTCTCCGGGCTTTGGCTGGTGGTATCTTCAGGTCCAGAAGATCCATCATCGGGTAGATCGGCATTGTACACACGTAGCCATGGCGCATGTACTTGCTCAGTAGTACCACCGTGGTCGTCCGACAACCGGTGCAAACTTCCGGTGACAGAGACCATAGGCACTTTGTGCTCGTTCACCGCAGCCTCCAGTAACGCAGCTTCCTGGCGCTCAAGCTCAGCTCTCTTTGCGGCAAACTCTCTCTTGATATCTGCTAATCTCCCGTCTAGTAACTGTTTGTTGCGTACAAGCTCTTCGATAGCATCATGAGCTCTCTGCTGTATATTCGAGAGAACCTTGCCGCATTTGTCGTCATGTAAAAGCCGCGCAAGAAGTATAGCATCGGTAAGGTGCTGTAAGAGTTCACTGGAAGACAGGCGAACTCGGTGAACGGCGTTATGTCGGAGCTGGATAATCGATTCCATGAGACCGGGCAAAGGTTTTGCGTCCTCTTTCAAGTCGTCCAATTTGAGTTCTTCACGGTAGATGAGCAATGTTCTGGCCCATTGATTGAGTTCGACTGCCTCTGCGCAGTCCCAACCTTCTCGATGTAAAAGCCCAACCAGCCTCTCCTGCGCAAAGTCGAAGCAAGCCTTTTCAAGAGTGTATTGTACTCTGACGAGGATGCGGTGCTGGTCCCAGAGTGGTAAGGCTACGGAATCGAACGACTGCGTGTGCGAAGATGCTTGAACTTTTATCAGCACGGCTTGAGAATACGTTGATGCCACATACCAGTCTCAATCTTCTCTCTCTCCTTCCTGGCTTTGAGCTCGTCACCGATACCCATGAGTTCCTCGGGACTATATACCCCTCCCACGGGCTGCATAGCTGCTGCACTACTTGCTGCAGTGCTGGACTCGGTAACTGCTGGCTGCACAGCCGCTGCGCTGTTCGTTCCAGTCTGGAACACGGGGGCAACTACTGGACTGGGCTCATTCGAAAGGCCCCCAAAGACATCAGGAAAGCGTGTTTTCGCTTTCTCGGTTGAAGCAAAGATCTGGTTTCCTGACAGAGCGAAGGCTACCGCGGTAATACCCTCCACTCCATATCTTTGAACCAGAGGCGCAACCTTGGCGTCATATCTATACTTCTCAATATTCTTGCGAATCTTTTTCGCAGTGCTAGGCGGTGTCGGACCAATGCTGAAGATGTCCTTGAGCGCCAGGTACACTTGCTTCTCGGTCAACGGAGGGGCGGCCATAGTTCTTTATTTTGACTTTCAGGTATAGAAGGAAGGGAAGCGGTGGTATTGTACATCGCGTTTTCGGCCTCCGTGGCTAGCTATATGCAAAGGCGCCTCAACCGCTGCGCCTCAATGTTGCCTTGAGGAGCTTGCGCATGAACATTCACTCAGCTGGAAATGCACCCCGCGCCTGGATGTCTTGCCCAGCGAATGATTGATCGGGGTTGACGCCATGCCTGCGGGCTAGACTGCGAGCCTCAGATGTGGCTTGCTTTCCGACGTGGCTTCCTGGCGTAAAAAGCCGAACACGGATTACACTGCCGTTCAGATTGAGGCTCAGTACATAGCAAAAGTCTGCCTAAATGGGGAGGCTCGTGGATAGCTATCGTCTTAAGCGTGCGGATAATGCTCTCGCAGGTGTGTCGCGTCATATGAGTCCATGGCGATCGCAATGTGGTGGTGTTGGAGGAGAGAAGCAGGTGCGGGTGCGGGCCGGCGGCAGGAGCCCTGCTGATCCTTGAAATTCGCCGTTCCAGCCCCCCAAATTTGGCGCCCTCGTCTGACGCGACAACAACACGGTCGGCGCGCCAAAGCATTGCCATGGCTTCACGTCAATCAAGGCAGAAACTGAACACCCTGAAGCCTACACTAAGGTCATGTTTTCTAATCTGCTTGTCTCATTATAATGTAGTCTGCAGACCTGTTCAGTTTGTACGTATCTGAGGTGAACTTAGATCACACCCAGAATAGCATGTCATTTGCGCAATTAGGTTTCGAAGGGTGCGCAACCTCAATCACACATCGAAATCTTGCATATTGAAAAGTTTCAATGGAATCGCGCTCCCAGGTCGCGATCATATCGTCTTATGAGCAAAGCTCAGCGCCTACATACCTATCTACATAACATCAACTACGCCTACTCCGCAACGAACGTGGAGCTATCCCAGCCATACACCTTCTTCAAGCGCCGGGAGTAGATAAAAAGACGTCGCCCCTCGATACTCGCCTGATGCGGCCGATGGAGTGTTAGATTTCTACGCACCGACACCTTCTCGGGTGGGACAAATGTGTAGATCGAGCCGACTTTGGGATCGATTGTAAAGCCAAAGTCTGTCATGGCAGCCACGAAGGCGTCCCATCGTACGGGGCTACGAGCTTCTGACGATCTTGAGAACAGCGACGAGAAGACGGCTGCAGTGGAGGGTTTGACGTAGAAGGTTTCCTTTGACGAAACGAGCTGGTCATTTGTGGTGGCTTGCGGCGTTATGTCGTAGAGGGGGGTTTGCGCCGGTCGTGTCTTCTCCTTCTGCTTACGATGCTCGATGTCCGACGCTGGGGTCTCGGGAGCTGACGGTGCTTTGTATTCAGCTTGGCTTTGACTAGCTTTCGACTTTTGTTGCTCGTACTGTTGCTGAATGCTCGAAATGCAGTCCGCAACCAGATCCTGGTAGAGAAAGCCGAGCTTGGTACCCGCCTTCTCAACGACATACTGATTTAGTGCTGCAAGAGCGCCTTCAGCCATGCCTGGCTCCAGCAAGTTGTCGATCGGAATGGCGTACTCGCCGAGGTCTATACCGTCTTTCAACGACCTCAGCTCCTTGTCCAGAGCTGTGTAACCCGGGACGAATGGTTGGCTTTTCTTGTGGTTCGGTGCGGGTAATTGCGCGACTGACGAGAGAGACTGAATGAAGGTGACAATGATGGCAAGGTCTCCGAGACAGTCGTACTCTCGCTCCGAAAGATTGTCTCGCTCTAGCGGATGAGCTCGATGGAGATCTTCCAGCTTCTGAAGCCACTGCGCAGCCCCAGACCAATTTGTATCCTCCTGGCAGAGTCGAAGCATGTAGTGTAACTGCGGGTTCTCTACGGTTAAAGACTCGGGGCTTCGCTTCAACAAGATGCGCGGAACGTCGTCCTTCTGTACGGTCGACATGCGCTTGAACCACTTGCTGCCTCCCATGCCGACGGCCACACTACGTTTGAATCCATTCTGAGCGCGCAGATACTCCAGGTGGCAAGTGTTCGACAGCTCCTTGAGGATAGTCGCTCGAAACTGTTTGTCTGATGACTCCTTCAGCAGATCCATGAGACGGCCAATGTAGTTCCATGTGGCAGCGATCTTGACCGCGTTCTGGACGGCATCGAATACAGCACCGCTGATGTATTTATCTGTATGTACAGGCATCATACGGCCCTTCTCGTCGGCGACAAGTTCCGGCCTATTGAAGAAGCAAAAGTTGACTTCATGGGCTAGAAGCGTAGGCTCAGTGGAGATCAGACTAATGAGATCTTCACGCGACGACACCTGATCGCGAGCCATGTCAACAAGGTCTGAGAGTTCGGCCTTTTTTGGAGCCGAGTGTACGGACAACTTTGCTAGAGCTGCAGTCGCCTCTTCGGCTGGCTTCTTCGGGCGCTTCGTCTGGGTTCGCGTGGTAGACGCGGTATCGAGAATGTCTTCAATGCTGATGTTGAGTAGCTGCATCAGGTTCACCTGTCGCATGAGAATTAGCTCGCCAGTAGCCTGGGGTACTATGACTTGAGCTTGTATGGCCGGCTTCATGTTTGCCAAAACCTCTTCCCGCTTTTCTGCGAGGATCTGGACCGATTCGCCGTAGCCATCCTCCGTCAAGAAAAGCGTGTAACAGTTCTTGAATTGGACGGCGTCTTGGAGTCGTAGGTTCTTCCTCTGCATCATATCAACTATATGCGCGTGATCGCCTGGACGTCCATTGAACCCTGTCGCGTATTGGTCTTTGAGTGGCAGGGTTGCCCGGTGCTTTAGCATATCGAGGAAGAAGTTTGATGAAGGGGCAGTGATGTCGCGTATATTCCATTCGGGAATGAACTTGTAGACATTCTCTAAGCTCGTATCTTCAGCATGCTTCAGGACAGCGCCATCACGAGAGCCAGCCTGCATGATCTTCTTGCGTTGTTCTTGGCCAAGCGAACGCCACCTCTCTTCGATGCGGGGGCCATGCTGTCGGTACTTGTTGGCAAGATCGCGATGGAGTTC